ACAGTGTATGGTGGGAGTACAGTGTATGGTGGGAGGACAGTGTATGGTGGGAGTACAGTGTATGGTGGGAGGACAGTGTATGGTGGGAGTACAGTGTATGGTGGGAGGACAGTGTATGGTGGGAGTACAGTGTATGGTGGGAGTACAGTGTATGGTGGGAGTACAGTGTATGGTGGGAGTACAGTGTATGGTGGGAGTACAGTGTCTGGTGGGAGTACAGTGTATGGTGGGAGGACAGTGTATGGTGGGAGTACAGTGTATGGTGGGAGTACAGTGTATGGTGGGAGGACAGTGTATGGTGGGAGGACAGTGTATGGTGGGAGTACAGTGTATGGTGGGAGGACAGTGTATGGTGGGAGTACAGTGTATGATGGGAGGACAGTGTATGGTGGGAGTAGTGTATGGTGGGAGTACAGTGTATGGTGGGAGTACAGTGTATGGTGGGAGTACAGTGTATGGTGGGAGTACAGTGTATGGTGGGAGGACAGTGTATAGTGGGAGGACAGTGTATGGTGGGAGTACAGTGTATGGTGGGAGTACAGTGTATGGTGGGAGTACAGTGTATGGTGGGAGTACAGTGTATGGTGGGAGTACAGTGTATGGTGGGAGGACAGTGTATGGTTACTGAGATACTCAACTACCTACATTTAAGGAAACAGTTGCAAGCGGCTCAACTGCCTCGTTCCCTTGTCCTGATAATTATTCAACCGTTCAGAATGCTTATAAGGACTATTTCTCTACACGTCACCAAGGTTAATAAGTCTAATATGGTCATCACCAACACAACTGACTATGTCAACAAATGGAAGCACTTATAAAAGCTACTTAACTGTTAACAAAGGTACTATTGGAAAAGTTATCTTGCACTTCAACCAAACCTTTAAAACCAAAGTCAATAACGATGATGAGGAAATGATTTCTAAATTGGTCATTAGCTGGCCCTGGTGACCTTCCATGTTGGGTCTTATGAAGAGAGGAAGCCAATAACGCCGCCCCGAGACCCGTTATTAGTTCACTGGCTTTTGTGGACTATAAACTTTGTGAGTGGTTAGTCCTAACTTGCTCCCCCGCGCTAGTCCACGCCATTTTAAACTCCCACATAACAACCCATGTACACTTTGTTAACAAACTTTCCCATTTCAAATTGAATTATGATTTTCAAAGTGAGTTTCGACATGCCAGGCCCTGTTGATGCCAGGCCCTGTTGATGACAGTACCGGTTGATGCCAGGCCCTGTTGATGCCAGGCCCTGTTGATGCCAGGCCCTGTTGATGACAGTACCGGTTGATGATTTGTTAACTTACTTATTAATTGAACTTCCCAGTGATAATTTAGCCTTACCCTTTAATACCACAACTGTTGAATTAACTAAATTGTGTTTTAAAAGACAATTACTTCAGTTTCAATTAAAAATATTTTATACAGACATTTGGAAGGGGGGCGGGCACCCCCCCCCCCCTCCCGGTTGAGTCAACTATATATATAAAGTTCTTTAAACAAAAATGTTAGCTGGATTGTTGGCACTAACGAGGTTTAGTATAAATATGTCTAAGATACGTCACGTTGTTGCCCCTTAATAATGACCAATAACATTTTCTTACCGTTATATTAAAGTTAAGGTGGCGGTAATTTATGGCATCTTTCTTAAGAGCCTGGAAGGTTTCCAGTCCTTATTTGTTTTACATAAGTTGATAAACATAAGAAATTGGAAAGAAATTGCAATACCCTAAATCAGTGTTGGACTTTGTTGTGAGACAAACGAAGAAGACTTTCTAGAGTCATTCTCCTAAGACTTAACCGGGTCTCAGATACTGACTAGTGTTACCATACTCGGAAGATCTCCCTAAACTGCTGGCGATGAGTCACAATAACGGGGCTGAAGTATGTTGACCAGACCACACACTAGAAGGTGAAGGGACGACGACGTTTCGGTCCGTCCTGGACCATTCTCACAATCGACTTGCGAATGGTCCAGGGCGGTCCGAAACGTCGTCGTCCCTTCACCTTCTAGTGTGTGGTCTGGTCAACATCTCCCTAAACTTTTACCGGTTTGGAAATCTTGTAATATTGTTAGATCAAAAAATAATAATTCATTTAAGTAGCTTTTACTGAAGAATTTTCCAGTGTCAGCTGCAGGGTGAGTGTATTAGAGCCCTTACAATGGGTGACAGTTGACGTCTATGGCAGAAACTGGTAAACAACCTTGTTACCGGCTCTCTCAACATCGTTACTACACTACAACTGCACAACATTCTAAACTCAAACATTTTTTTACTGCTAACGAATTACCAATAACTTCAACAACGATCCTGGGATATTTCTTGGAAGAACCGATTTGAGATTCTCTAACAGATCACCAAGACATGTTCACGGTGACAAGTCCTCCACTCGGGTTAGTAAGAGACTCAGGGAACTACCGGGTTGTAAAGTGTTGAGTGGAATAGAGTTGTGGCCAGCAATGTTGAGACTCTTGAACAGGTTGGACAGTACACAAGTGAGAGGACTGGTCTAAACTGTGGCCATTACTACAGCCCAGGAGGTCAGATGACTCCGTAAGTCTTGTGTCCTTACATTAATGTCTAGCATAATGGATAGCTTATTTGCTGGCTGCACACCCTCCCCCCCCTTACTGTCAAGGTCTTGGGGTGTGTGTGTGTGTGTGTGTGTGTGTGTGTGTGTGTGTGTGTGTGTGTGTGTGTGTGTGTGTGTGTGTGTGTGTGTGTGTGTGTGTGTGTGTGTGTGTACACAAGCATGTTGAGATAATAGCACTGGTAATGAAGACCTGTAGCAACACCTCACTCCAGAGTCATCCACACTACCCTACCCCCATGACGCACTCCACCCCCCACCCTGGCAGCACTCCACCCCCCACCCTGGCACCACTCCACCCCCCACCCTGGCACCACTCCACCCCCCACCCTGGCACCACTCCACCCCCCACCCTGGCACCACTCCACCCCCCACCCTGGCACCACTCCACCCCCCTCCCACCTCCCTCACTCTGGCCTGAAACTCTCACAGAAATCCTTGCAGCCTCTGCCTCCCTCAGGAACCCTTTCATCCTGCAGCTCCTCCGGGAGCACTGAAGGCCACACCATACTTATTGATACTTCCAGTGTCCCCCCCCCCAGCCCCGGAGACCAGTCCCCCCCCAGCCCCGGAGACCAGTCCCCCCCCAGCGCCGGAGACCAGTTCCCCCCCAACCCCGGAGACCAGTTCCCCCCCAACCCCGGAGACCAGTCCCCCCCCCAGCCCCGGAGACCAGCCCCCCCCTCAGCCCCGGAGACCAGTCCCCCCCCCAGCCCCGGAGACCAGTTCCCCCCCCCCCAGCCCCGGAGACCAGTTCCCCCCCCCCCCCGGCCATTACTGAAGCCTCTCAGAAAGAAGAAAAGGTCCAGGAATGAGCTGTTGAGAGCGCAGTCGACACCTGTAATTATGCACCGGTTGTAATGGCGGAGGTGAGGGGGGGCGGAGAGGGGGGGCGGAGAGGGGGGGCGGAGAGAGGGGGTGGAGAGAGGGGGCGGAGAGAGGGGGCGGAGGAGGAGTGGATGAGAGAGGCAGGAAGTAGAAATTAAAGGAGAAAATGAGGAAGAGGAGGAGGAGGAGAAGGTAAGGTGTTAAGGACGTAGCGGGGACATGATAACAACATATAAGATTCTACAGGAAACTGACAAAGTAATTTAGATGAAGGAGCGATCGTTAACGGTGACAACAGCTGAGCGAGGGACCAGACATGCACACTAGACAAGTCACAAAAACTTCAGAAGAACTTTTGTCCATCTTAAAGCTGTCAATATGTGGAATATGTTACATCTGGAAGCCGTAAAACTAATTTGATATATTAAATACATATAACATTTTGGTTTAATTTTTAAAAGTAGGAAAAAAGTGTCGGAAATGAGTCATTGCATTATTCCAAGAAGGTTTGGAGTGAGGGGCGTAGGAGCTTAGCTCAACCCTGCAACCACAGCCAGGTGAGTGCGCGCGCGCACAGAGACACACAGACACCTGTCCTCTGAAGCCCACATCAAGAGGATAACATCAGCGGCATATACCAGGCTGGCCAACATAAGAAAGGCATTTAGAAACTTGTGTAAGTAATAAGTCAGAACTTTGTATACCACATATGTCAGACCAATCCTGGAGTATGCAGCCCCAGCATGGAGTCCATATCTAATCAAGCATAAGACTAAACTGAAAAAGGTTCAAAAGTTTGCCACCAGACTAGTACCCGAGCTGAGAGGTATGAGCAACGAGGAGAGACTACGGAAATTAAACCTGACGTCGCTGGAAGACATAAGAGTTAGAGGGGACATGATCACCACATACAGGATTCTCAAATGAATTGATAGGGTAGATAAAGACAGGCTATTTAACACAAGGGGCACACGCACTAGGGGACACAGGTGGAAACTAAGTGCCCAAATGAGCCATAGAGACATTAGATATCCTTTTTTTAGTGTCAGTGGTTGACAAATGGAATGCATTAGGAAGCAATGTGGTGGAGGGTGACTCCATACACAGTTTCAAGTGTAGATATGATAGAGCCCAGTAGGCTTAGGAACCTGTACACCTGTTGATTGACGGTTGAGAGGCGGGACCAGAGCCAAAGCTCAACCCCCGCAAGCACAACTAGGTGAGTACACACACACACACACACACACACACACACACACACACACACACACACACACACACACACACACACACACAGACACAGACACACACACACACACACAGACACACACAGACACACACACACACACACACACACACACACACACACACACACACACACACACACACACACACACACACACACACACACACACACACACACACACACACACACACACACACACACACACTCCCAACAGCCGTCGACAACAACAACAACTGGGACACGGTTGGACGAGGTGGTTCCAGCTCCCCAGCATTTACATAATTACCCATCATTTAATAGTTTCCGGTCCAAGAGCTGCCTTTGTTTCCTGGTTCAGCGCCCACCTCCCACACCCACCTCCCCACGCCCACCTCCCACGCCCACCTCCCACGCCCACCTCCCACGCCCACCTCCCATGCCCACGTCCACGCCCACCTCCCACGCCCACGCCCACGTCCACGCCCACCTCCCCACGCCCACCTCCCACGCCCACCTCCCCACGCCCACCTCCCCACGCCCACCTCCCACGCCTACGAGGGCTTAATGTTCTCCACCCCCGGCTGGCCTCGTCACACAGTGTGGCAATAGACACAAGAACATGAAACAATTATCAAATAACAATTAGCTGCCCTACTGCCGGTTACTGATTAACAACTCTTTAGGCAGAAAAACAAAATAATGTTAGATTAATATGACACAGGTAAAGTTCGATAGTATTCTGTAAATCTATATTTCCTTCACTGGGAGTTTAGCACACGCTGTTTCAGTCACTAAACAACATTATATCAACCTTTATCACACAACATAATTTTGGCCTACAAAGCAAAACCACTTGGGCTGGACGGTAGAGAGACGGTCTTTCTTCATGCAGGTCGGCGTTCAATCCCCGACCGTCCAGGAGGTTGTGAACCATTCCCTTCCCCCCCCCGTCCCATCCCAAAACCCTTGTACAGTTTGTCCCCTATCAGTGTGGAGGGTCACAGGGACACAAGGCCGACCCTAGTCCCATGACACGACCTGTTGAAACATCACATTTGTATGGCTGTGTGTAACATTAAGGTAAGGTCCTGAGTGCACACTACGAAGGAAAGGGAAGCCTCTCCCCATATTTCAAACTGTCAACTGTACCAACCTACATCCTCACTCATAGACTAAAGGAGTTTGTCAACCTCAACCCATCTCACTATACCTCCCCTTACATATATACCTCTATATATACCCCTTACAACCTTAAGAAGGTAACTTGCAACATAGGCAACCATGTATAAACAGGCAGGAGAGAGGGAAGGTCTCAAGTGAAGGAGACTTACAATAGTAAGTCACTAACCCACACCACAGATCAATCACACGCCTTCTTATTGACTGATAAAGAAGACCTTGGAGACGTTGTGAGAGTGGATGGTCAATCTCCTCCCCCGCCTGGGACCGCTTGTCACGCTGGTAAGTCAATCATCAAGAGTGATAAACTTTCCCAACTAATTACTCGAGTTTGTTTCATCTCATAAAACACACAACTTCCTGTAGAGATTAATGTATTAGGCATCAGAATAAAAGACATACGTGATTCTTCCCTGTGTAACAGTGTACGGTAATTAATTAGAGTTATGTTGAACTATGTTTGAGTTTGTTATGTGGTGGCGACACGCACTCTGACCTCATCATATTAGTGCTAATCAGAACACTGTATTATGTGTTTGATTACAAACTGCGTTCCTTCTGCACAGTGTAAAGGTGATGACATGTATTATTTCCACGCACAAACACATTATAAATAAAGTAAACTATAAGACCATAATTATAAGACCTTTATAATTAAAGACCATATGTAAACACATTGTTGTTTACTTTCTACCACTTCTGTATTGCTTCTCTTCCTTCCCTTTTGGCCTCTTACCCATCTGCCTTCTCCTACCCTTCACACTCTCCTCCTCCTCCACTCTCTCTCTGCCCACCAGTCATACCCTTCATGTTGTTCCTCTAATCTTATTATCCTGTTCTTTCCCCTTCTTTGTTTTTGTTCTTAGTATTTCTGTTCTTAACCTCAAATCGATGACAACAATTCACAGAAAACTGGCGGCTCTCAGCGACCCCCAGATCCACCCAGGCCATACAAAGACGAACACATAGTCACTTACACACACACACACACACACACGCACACGCACACGCACACACACACACGCACACGCACGCACACGCACACGCACGCACACGCACGCACGCGCACACACGCACGCATGCACACGCCCGCTTCGCGCGCGCGCACACACACACACACACACACACACACACACACACACACACACACACACACACACACACACACACACACGCTGGGAAGACGGGACACCACGAGCGTAGCTCTCATCCTGTAACTACACTTAGGTAATTACACTTAGGTAATTACACACAGACACACACCTCATATATACACCTCATACATACATACACAAACCTACACTCTTCAGATGTTTGTGTGCATGTGTATCAGAAAAGTGTTCTGAAAGCGACAAGGTTCGTACGTCACAATATAAGACACATCAGTGACTAAGAGACCAGACTGTGCAAGTAGGAAAATATACAGAAAATAACAATGCCATTTATGAGGAACTAAATACCAGTCTCCATGAAGTGTTGTCAACCGAAGGTAGTCTTGAAGGTAACCTTAGAACAACATTTACACATATTGAGGTAAGGGGCCGAGCGGACAGCACGCTGGACTTGTGATCCTGTGGTCCTGGGTTCGATCCCAGGCGCCGGCGAGAAACAATGGGCAGAGTTTCTTTCACCCTATGCCCCTGTTACCTAGCAGTAAAATAGGTACCCGGGTGTTAGTCAGCTGTCACGGGCTGCTTCCTGAGGGTGGAGGCCTGGTCGAGGACCGGGCCGCGGGGACACTAAAAAGCCCCGAAATCATCTCAAGATAACCTCAAGATAAGGCAGAGTAAGTAAGGAGAATCAACCAACATCAAAAGACGAACAGAGATCTATAAGAGCAGACAATGTATCATCCTCATGGATGTTAAGGTAAGCTCCACAGGTACTCGCTATACCATTAGCGCTCATCTCTAATGATTACCTTACACAAGGGGATTGTCCCAGCTGCTGGGAGAAGGGAAATGATGTACTAATATGCAAGAATGGCGATAGGCAGGACCAGCTTAGTTACACACTATTGCACAAGCTTTAAATGCTGGCAGGAGAACGTGTTAGAGCATGACTTTGCTCTAACATACAGGAGTTAGAGTCACAGGAGTTAGAGTGACAGGAGTTAGAGTCACAGTGAGGGGGGCAAGAACTAGTCCACACGGAGGAGAAGGATTGCCACTAGAACTTCCACTATATATAATTTATGTTAATGACTTAACTACAGGCTCTAATGAACACATCGAGAAGCACCAAGTTGTAAAACATTACACTGTGAGAGTAGGAAGGTCTAGAGTTGCGTCAACAAATGGCTACTGGAATTACAGTCCAGCAAGTATTACATGATGAAAACTGAAGGTGGTGACAGGAGACTGGCATGCTACAGTCATCCCAGTGTCAGTAGCTACACATGCTGTTACAAGGTGCTAACTACTACCACACTATTACAACCACTACGACCACAACCTCACCACCACCACAACCACTACGACCACAACCTCACCACCACAACCACTAACACAGGAGGCAAGTTAGAGGATCTGCTCTCACACTCATGGCCGAGTGAAACAACTCATGGCTGAGTGAGACAATTGGGCACGGAACCTTCACCGTTCGACCTGCTGCACTCACCAATATTTGCAAATCTGGTTCCTGGACCAAGAGCTAAATCTTTACACAGCCTCGCCCTCCGTGCCAGCTACAGTAATGAGCTACCATCACCACTACCAAACTACCATCAAACTACCATCACCACTACCAAACTACAATCACCTCGCAACCCGTTCTCGCAAATTCGTATAGTCAATATTGACTTATTAACTACGTGCATAGGTGATATTCTAAACATAATAGATACCCTTAAAAAGCTTTATAGAAAACACCGACCTTACCTAACCTTGTTAGTATCTTTAGATAAGCATCTTATTGCTTCGTAATTACAATTATTACTTAACCTATACCTATAATAGGTTAAGTAACAATTGTAATTATGAAGCAATAAGATGCTTATCTTAAGATACTAACAAGGTTAGGTAAGGTCGGTGTTTTCTATGAAGCTTTTTAAGGGTATCTATTATATTTAGTATGTCACCTATGCACTTATTTAATAAGTCAATATTGACTTTACAAATTTGCGAGAACGGGTTGCAACCACTACAGAAAGTTTCCGGAGTTGGAGCCCCTAAGGCAGTTCCTTGTTGACGTCGACCTCGTTCTGGCAGCTCCTACGACGGTGCTGGAACCATGTGTAGTGGCATTTGCCTTTCTATTGGATAATTTCAGCAACGTGGAGAGGGGGGACCTGCTGCATGGGTAACAGCTTCTCCTCCATATCTACCTACCCAGGCTTTACGCCCTGTCAGGGCACAACTCCATAGTCTTCCGAGACTGAAAGATGCCTACTACTATAGATCTTATAGTAGTAGGATCTTACTACTACGATCTTAACAAAGTGCGACAAGTGTAAGGTAGTGAAGAAGGGAATGAGAGAGAGAAGAGCAGAAGGTGTGTACACCATAAGGACAAGACAGGTACAGGAGTCCGTGAGAGAGGATCTGGGAGTGGACACCTCCAACACTCACACCAGAGGCACACACAAACACGATAACATCAGCAGCATATGCCACGCTCGCAGACATTACAACATCCTTAACCAACCTAAACCAGGGATCTTTCAAGGCAATGTACACAACCTTTGTTAGACCAATGCCGGAATATGCAGCACCGGCATGGAGCCTGCGCATCGTCAACCATAAAACTAAAACTAAATAAGGACAAAGGTTAATAACAAGTGCCGGAGCTAAGAGGACTAAGCTATGAGGACAGGTTAAGTGAATTAGACCTTACAATAAGGGGAATGGAGAAGAAACAAAGGGGACATAATCGCTACATAAAAGATACTAAAGGGAACTGACAAGGTCAGGTTGAAATATAGGGAATACAGTGAACACATATGGCATACATAGTAGCGATAAAGCACCTAAATTATTGGGATCGTCTCAAAGCCCTCCAAATGTACTCACTAGAAAGGAGACGAGAGAGATATCAAATAATATACACGTGGAAGATACTGGAGGGCCAGGTCCCTAATCTACACAGTAAAATAACAACGTACTGGAGTGAACGATATGGAAGAACGTGCAGAATAGAACCAGTGAAGAGCAGAGGTGTCATAGGCACAATCAGAGAACACTGTATGAACATCAGAGGTCCAGTGAAGAGCAGAGGTGCCATAGGCACAATCAGAGAACACTGTATGAACATCAGAGGTCCGCGGTTGTTCAACATCCTCCCAGCAAGCATCAGAAATATTGCCGGAACAACCGTGGACGTCTTGAAGAGAAAACTAGATTATTTCCTCCAAGGAGTGCCGGACCAACCGGGCTGTGGTGGATATGT